TCTGTCTCAATCCCAACACCTGTTAAAATGTTGATGTCTTTGCCCTTCCAGACTGTTTTTGTGCATGTGTTGCATAGGTAAATTTTATTTTATAAAAGTTGTACAATACTATATAATACTATTCTACAACTTCCATCTGTCTCTTAATATAGTGGACATTATTCCAAAGCTCAGTTTAAAATAATTTTGAATATATGTTACACTATACAATTGCACTATTACTTATTTAGCAAATACCCTTATAATGAATAATTTTTCTATATTAAAACAGTACTGTAATGAGTATTTTTGTGCAAATGTTTTGACATGCTTATTTAATTATTAATTCCTTGAAATAAATGGCCAGGTGTGGAATCACAGGGTGTGTTATGCCTATTTTATAACAATTTTATGTTATACATCTTTCCAAGTTACTCTTGATAAAGCATGTACCAATGTATATTCCCATAGATGGTGTGAAGAGTGATCTATTCTCCATTTAAGTTGCCAGTCTAGTAGCTAGAAAATATTTCACTGTATTAATGTGCTTTATTATTATTAGTTAAACTGAAGTTTATCGTTAGTTACCTTTCTACTTGGATATTTATATTTTTCTTAATGGATCATAAGAAATCTGTATTAATGTTAATCCTTTGTCATATATAGTAGAAAAATCCAGTGGTGATAAGGAAGTGGCTTTATTTCTAATTTCAACAGAAGTGACTGTAATGTTTCACTTTAAGCCTGATGGCTTAGAATTAGATCAGTAGCAAATAAGATTCTTCTATTTTTACTGTACCTGGGTTTTTTGTTTTTTTGTTGTTTTTTTTTATCCTCACCCGAGGACATTTTTCCATTTTTTTGTTCAGGTAGAGTGGGAGGGAGAGAGAGGAACAGAGAGAGAGAGAGAAACATCGATGTGAAAGGAACACATCGAGTGGCTGCCACCCTCACGACCGACCAGGGCCGGGGACAAACTGCAACCGAGGTACACGCCCTTAGCGGGAACCGGGTCTCTCAGGACGCAGGCCGACGCTCTAACCGCTGAGCCAAACCGGCCAGGGCTGTACCTGGGTTTTTTAAAAGCTAAAAAATGAATGCTGCATCTTGTCAAATGTTTTTCCAATAGTGAATTATAATAACAGCTTTCCTAAGAATGAACCGTCCTTGCATTTCTAATATAAACTGTAGTTAATTGTATATTTTGTATATACTACTGGAATTTTGCATCTTTGGGGCAGGAATGGACCATCTTAATCAGGTTTTGTTGTTCAGATGGTGTTAGTTTTGTAAAATGAATTGAGAAATATTTTTTTTCTCCCTGAAAAATTTCTTTAAGAAAACCTTTGAATTTTCTTTCTCTTCCCCTTCTACTTACCATGGTTTCTGTCTTGGTGCCTCCCTTCCCCCGTACACACACAAATTATCTCTTTACAGTTTGAAAAACTCCCAGTGAAATTGACCTAGGAATCTGGCGTTCTTTTTTTTTCTTAAAATTGTTTGTAAAATTTTACATTTCTCTAGAAAGTTAGCCATTTCATCAAGATTTTCAAATTTACTTACATAGAGCATATATAAATAGCATGCTTTTATAATCTGTGGTTATATCTTTCTTTTCATTACTAACGTTGCTTTTTGCTTTCTTGCTTTTTTTCTTGCTTGCTTAGCTTTACCAGTAGTGTTTACTGTTTGGATTTTTTACCCCAAGAATTTACTCTTGGGTTTACTTAAAAGGTTTTGTTCTGATTTTTATTTCCTATTTCTTAGTTTTTGCTTCTTCCTTCTATGGATATAACTGATTAATACAAATTCTAGACTTTTTTTTGAGGGTCAGTGTATATAGAACTCAGTTTGCTTGCATGTAGACCCAGTAGTTGAATGAAATAACATTGTCAAAGAGCTGACATACCAGGAACTTGAGTAGCTGTGGGTTTTTTCCCCCAGCTTTTAGTTATTATTGTCATTTGATTATCCAACTATAACAGGAAATGGGAATTATGTATATGATGGCCTCCAAGTTCACCTCTATTTAATATCTCAGCATTACTCATTCCAAAACCCGCCAACTACTTTAAGATACAATTAAGAAAAATAATTACGTCTTACATTTAATTTACCTGTATTTTACTTTCCGCATGCTGTTGATGGTTAAGATTAATACTTTAGCACCAAACATTTTGCTTTATTGTGGAGTATATTTGGCAATAGTTTAACAAAAGGTTTTACATTGGTTATGGATGTTGTGTATGTAAATACACATAGTAGGAATTTAAAAACCCCGGGGGTTCAGTCTTGTTAAAATGGAGTACTTTGCTTACTTTGTTAGCTTTGAGCTCCACCTGCTGGCTAAGGACTAGGATGTGATGGTGCCTTAATTTAAGGCATTATGACACTGGTAAAATAATTTGATGAATTTTATATTTAGTATCCCAATTAAGCAGGCAGACCATCTGTACAACCAAACTCCAAGACACACTTCCTATAATATCTAATTTGTTTCCTCATTTTCCCAAATCACTGTTTAGTTGACTCAAGTACCATTTCACTTTTATAAATATAATATGAGAATTAGAACTTTTCATGTTCAGTTCTGGCGATATTATCATGGTGTTTCTCAACCATGACCCTATTCATATTTTGGACCAGATAATTCTTTGTTTTTGTGGGCTGTCTTTTGCATTATAGATGTTTATTGTGTCCGTGGCCTCTATCCACCAGATACCCAGAAGCACCCCTCAATTGGGATAACCAAAAATGCTCCTGGCCTGCAAAATCTCTCCTAGTTGGGAATCAATACATTATTATAACCCCCTATAATCTGACACAGTTTTATGGCCTGATATTATATCTGCAAATTAAAAAACATCCTTCTTTAGTGATTCACAGATAGAATACTGTAAATAGTTATTGAATTAAAGGATATCCAAAGTTCATCCACAAATGAAGGGGAAATTCAGGAGAAAAGAAAATTTATAGAAATTTCAGAACCACTGTATTATTTGTGTTTGAAATTTTGAATGTGCTAATTGAAAGGATTAATACATTGTTTATAGTAAGAGGAATCTATTCAAGTCCTCAATAGTTCAAGATATGTGGCTTCTGTAATATAGTTTCATTTAAAAAATTATGTTTTGTTTTCAAGGTTTTATAATGGAGAAAGTTTAGAAATTGATTCTCGCCCACATAATTAATTTTCATGAATGTCACTGTACCACAGTTACAGGAAAGAATTAGGAAGTATTCAAATGGAAGCACAAAATAGCAATTATAAGCACAAATTAATACAGAAAAGCCAAAATGCTCAAATTTGGTGATTTGACCATTTTTATTTCACCTCTAATTAGCAGTTTGTAGAATCTTAAATTTATCAGTAACTTCTAGCATCTAACAAAATAGGAACTCTACTTATTTTCTCACTGCTACTAATTTCTGTAACTACTATGCTTACCTTTTTAAAAATATATCAGTTGAGTTTTTGTCCTTGTTTTCCTCCATAAACATAGGTATAATAGCTTCCTCTCTCTTTTACAGCCTTTTGTACTTATAATCAATAGGTACCTTTTTAAATGAATTTCAAATGAGCCAGTCATGCTATAAAATAATTTCTTGAAGTTCCAGCTCAAATTAGTTGTTATTTAACAAAGTATCGACAGCCCTGGCTGGTTTGGCCCAGCGGTTAGAGTGTCAGCCTTCTGACTGAAAGGTGTCAGATTTGATTCCTGGTCAAGGGCACATAACTGGGTTGCAGGTTCCATCCCCAGGCCTGGTTGGGGTGAGTTAGGGAGGCAACCAATTGATGTGTCTCTCTCACATTGATATCTCTCTCTCTCTCTCTCCCTCTCTTCCTTCCTCCCTTCCACTATATCTAAAAATCAATGGAAAAATGTCCTCAGGTGAGGATTAACAACAACAAAAAAGTATCTACAAAATAAGTGAGTCAATAGTAAAGTAAAACAAGGAAAGAAACTTTTTTAACTATTGAATATTCAGATAACAGGACACTAACTTATATTGGCATACTCTTTTCAAAATGAATTCACAGATGTTATCTCACTTCATTCTCAAAGCAATTTTCCCAGAAATAAACAGCTGCAAAGCAAGTGGCTTATTACCTAGTAAGAGACATGAACCTACATCTCCTGACTAAATCAATTTTTGTTTCATTATGCTATACTGCCTTTCCAGCATATATTACCAGTAAATTCTGCTTCAGAAAAACTTATATTAACCTTAGTGTGGGGAGACTAAAGACAGAGTTCTAACCAGAATACAGAAAAGTAATGAGTATCATGTGTGGATCTCTTTCTGAAAATAAAGGTGGTGTCATTTATATCTATCAATCCACTGTGAAAATTAGAATTATCGGTAGGATTGATTTGGTATAATTAAAAAAGAAAAATGTTATTTCAAAAGATATTTGAACACTCTAGCATTAGGGAAAAGGATAATAAGCCCCCCTCTCCCCACCTTTTTTAAAAAGCAGAAACTGTATGTGAACAAACCATGTTTTCATGATTCATTTCCAAAGTAAAGTAGACATACTAACACAAGGAGTATTCTAATTATAAAATCCATGTTAATTTTGGTGCATAGAAAAATTAGACAAAAAATGACTTAACACGTAGATGTTTTGGTTTTGATGCAGCTTTTAAAATTTTATCTTTTAAAAATATTTTCTATGCTTTGCAATAAATTACTTGTAAAATTAAAATTTGTTTATTGGTATAGAACAGGATGACTTTAGTAACTTTATTTTTTTTACAAACCTGAATTTGCTAATTTTTTTTTACCAGTTTGCATAAGTATTTTGACAAACTCAATATAAAATCAGTATTCTACCATAAGAGATAGCCATGAGCAACATTGGGTTTAAGAGAGTACTATACCCTTTTGTTAAAATTTTATGCTGATCTTCTCTGATTACTTTACATCTGAGCCCTGAACACTAAGCTGTATTGATGACTAATTTACAATGAAAATAATTTATATGAAAATGTTTTATATTTTAAAAACAAAAATCAGTGCTTGCTTCGGCAGCACATATACTATAATCAGAACGATACAGAGAAGATTAGCATGGCCCCTGCACAAGGATGATATGCAAATTGGTGATGCATTCCATATTTTTAAAGCTGTGGTACATATACACAACGGAGTACAATGCAGCTATAAGAAAGAAAGAGCTCTTATCCTTTGAGACGACATGGAGGGACCTGGAAAGTATCATCCTAAGGGAAACAAGCCAAACAGAGAAAGACAAGTGTCATATGATCTCACTTATTTGTGGAATATAATCAATATAACAGTCTGAAGAACAGGATAGTCCCAGAGATGTGGAAGTAGGGTACAGACTGACAATCCCCAGATGAGGGGGTGGAAGGGGGAGATAAACCACAGAACTTACATGCATGTATGCACAACCAACGGACATGGACAACAAAGCTGGGGACAGGGAGGGGAAGGAGGGTTTCAAAGGGGGGAAAAAGGAGAAACATCTGTAACAAAAATAAATAAATAAATAAAAATCACATTTCATATAATGTATGGTTTTTGCCTGTATATTGATGATATCTGTTTACCAAATTACAGTCTGCTGCAAATTCTGAGACTCCAAAGTCAACCATCTCGAGAGAGGCCAGCACCCAGTCTTCATCATCAATGACCAGCCAAGGCTATGTTTTACCTGAAGGCAAAATCATGCCAAACACTGTTTTTGTTGGTGGAATTGATGTTAGGGTATTGTATTCATTATTTAATTTATTTAAAAATATGTTTTGTGAATAATGGGATTTTGGTGCTTGTTGCAACCATAAGGAGTTTTTTTTTAACTTTATTTATTTTATCCTCACCTGAGGACATTTTTGCATTTATCTTCAGATAGAGCGGGAGGGAGAGGAGGAGGAAGAGGGAGAAAGAAACATCGATGTGAGAGAGACACATCAAGTGGTTCCCACCCACACAACCCCAACCTGGGCCGGGGACAAACTGCAACTGAGGTACGTGCCCTTAATGGCCACTGAACCCAGGACACTCCAGTGTGCAGGCCTACACTAACCACTGAGAAAAACTGTCCAGGACTTAACTTTATTTTTAAATATTTTTTTCTTTATTAATTTTTAGAGAGAGAGGAAGGAAAAGGAGGGGAGAAAGAGAAACATCGATGAGAGAGAACATCGATTGGCCGCTCCTGCACGTCCCCCACTGGGGATCAGGCCCACAACCTGGGTGTGTGCCCTGACCAAGAATTGAACCAGTAACCTCTTGGTGCATGGGTCGGTGCTCAACCACTGAGCCACACTAGCTGGGCCGTAAGTTTTTTTTTGTACTTCATGCAGGTTTGGAATTATTTTTGTGTTTAACCTATGGGGACCAAAAATATCTTTGACAAAGACCTACAGGTAGTTTGGGGATACTTGGGGAAAATAGTTCCACATCATCAATCTTCTTTTATAGTATAAGTGAAATTTTTAAATGCTGAATATTTACTCTTAAAGTCAAATTCTTCATAGATGGATGAAACCGAAATTAGAAGTTTCTTTGCTAGATATGGTTCAGTAAAAGAAGTGAAGATAATAACGGATCGAACTGGTGTGTCCAAAGGGTAAGTAAAATATATGTTGAGTATGAGTTATAAAATACATCTGAACGAGTCTGTAGAGTATCAGAAAGGCAGAATTAAAAACATGTTCTTACATTTGTATAAATGAAATTTGCTAATTTCTTTTATATAGAGAATAAAAGTTTGCTGCCAGCTCTTTCATGTAAACATTTTCCTAGTGTTCGTATTTAAATATTTTTCATCTTCATTTATTTCACTTAGTGGATTAATCTGTTTTATCAATGAATTGTTTTCTTTGCACATTTCATAGTATCTTAAATTTTTGTTGTTGATCCTCACCTGAGGATATTTTTCCAGTTTTTTTTATCACCTGAGGATATTTTTGCATTTATTTTCAGATAGAGCTGGAGGGAGAGTGGGAGGAAGAGAGAGAGAGAGAGAAACATCAACGTGAGAGAGACACATCAAGTGGCTGCCACCCACACGGCCCCAGTGGGGCCAGGGACAAACTGCAACTGAGCATGTGCCTTTAGCAGGAACTGAACCTGGGACTCTCTGGTCCGAGGGCCAATACTCTAACTGCTGAGACAAACCGGCCAGGGTTTCCATTGTTTTTTAGAGAGAGGAAGGGAAAGAGAGAGAAACATCAGTTAGAGAGACATATTGATTGGTTGCCTCTTGCACAACCCCAAGAGGGGCAGGGGATCAAACCTGCAACCCAGGTATGTGGCTTTGATTGGAAACAAACCCACCACCCTCGGTATGCAGGTCAACGCTCTAGCTGCTGAGCCAAACTGGCCAGGGCTTATTAAACTTTTTTTTTTTAATCCCCACCCAAGGATATTTTTCCATTGATTTTTTTCAGATAGAGTGGGAGAGAGAGAGAAAAACATCAATGTGAGAGAGGCACATTGATTGGTTGCCCTCCACACAGGCCCAACTGGGACCAGGGGTCAAACCCACAAACAAGGTATGTGCCCTTGACCAGGAATCGAACCCATGACGCTTTGGTTCTTGGGCTGACACTCTAACCACTGAGCCAAACTGGCCAGGGTCATAGTATCCTAAATTTTAACTATCTTGCCATAGATTATAAATTAAATTTAGGTTCATAGATAGGAATTTTCTGTTAATGAATAAGGTTCCCATACTACTATTTTTTTTTTTTAATCCTCACTCGAGGACACCTTTGCATTCATCATCAGATAGAGTGGAAGGAGAGAAGGTGGAAGAAAGAGAGAGAAACATTGATGCGAGAGAGCCACATTGAGTGGTTGACACCCACCCAACCTCAACTGGGGCCGGGGACAAACTGCAACTGAGGTACATGCCTTTAGTGGGAACTGAACCGGAATTCTTCGGTCCGTGGGCCGATGCTCTAACCACTGAACCAAACTGGCCAGGGCATTTTTTTTTTTTAAATTCTCACCCGAGGCTATATATATATATATATATATTTTTTTTTTTGTATTCATCTACAGATAGAGCAGGAGGGAGGGAAGGGAGAAAGAGAGGGAGAGAAATATCGATGTGAGAGAGACACATTGACTAGTTGAAAATCATTATCACTCTTGTTAATTATTTCATAGAATACTAGATGTTTTAAAACACAGTTATGGTGATGATTTTATACTTCATTTATCTGTCTTTCTAGCTATGGATTTGTTTCATTTTATAATGACGTGGATGTGCAGAAGATAGTAGAAGTAAGTAATCTCATGGAAAATCTTTTTAATAAAGATTATGCATGCAATGTTTCATATTACTTGAGTCCCACATATATATTCAGTCTTGTATAAAATATAGAGATAGATATATTTCGTTTTTGAAATCCAAACTTGAGTGATTTTACATAAGTTGTGAGAACCTATTTATTTATTTATTTATTTATTTATTTATTTTCTCTAATCCTCACCCACGGACATTTTTTATTTTCCGTTCAGATAGGGAGGGAGGGAGGGAGGGAGGGAGGGAGGGAGGGAGGGAGGGAGGGAGGGAGAAACATCGACGTGAAAGGGACACATCGAATGGCTGCCACCCGCACGACCAACCAGGGCCGGGGACAAACTGCAACCAAGGTACGTGCCCTTAGCGGGAACCGAACCCGGGTCTCTCTGGACCGTAGGCCAACGCTCTAACCGCTGAGCAAAACCGGCCAGGGCAGAACCTATTTATTTTTGATTGGGCATCTAGTTTCATGAACTAGGGACAGATCGTAAAGGTTTTGATCAAATTCCATGACACCTCTCGACACTTGACTAGAGTAGTGACAGTAAAATGCTGGTAAATTTTGATTTACTGTGGTCTTACAATTGATCTTTGATAGTAGAAATTTTAGAAGATTTGGGACGTTTATCAAAGTCTTAGAAGTAAAGACTTTGAAATTGATTCTACTTTTGTTACTATTTTATTTTTAGTCACAGATAAATTTCCATGGTAAACGGCTGAAACTGGGCCCCGCAATCAGGAAACAAAATTTATGTGAGTAAAGAAAGGAATTTTTCTTGTTGACACATAACTTTTCAGAGAACTAAAAATAAGCTTTGTTTTCTTTTTATTCTTTACAAAGGCGCTTATCACGTGCAGCCACGTCCTTTGGTTTTTAATACTCCTCCTCCACCACAATTTCAGAGTGTCTGGAGTAATCCAAACACTGACACTTACATGCAGCCTCCAACCATGATGAATCCTATAACTCAGTACGTTCAGGTAAGAATTACCTACATTCCTGTGATTTTTTCATTTATTAGTACTGGAGATATTATAGATGGGATTACCTTAAAAGTAAGCCAGTCTCACTTTTTACCCTCTGTGGAATTATATCCACAATTTCCATAATAAGTGATATGTTGTTTCTCTTTGAATACTTTTAGTGATCGGAAATCTTTTTTAAAAAATCTTTCTTAGTATTGTTTCTTATTCTAAACTAAAATCTGCTTCTATGTAGTTTGTAAGCCTTTATCCTTAAAACTGACCTCTGTAACCATATAGAACATATCTTTTACCTTTTTTCCTTATATAGTAACTAATAAAATATATGAAGGCAGTTTTTCTCATGTGTCTGCCTGGTTTATTCCTCTCTAAGGTTAGCCATTTGTCTAATTATTCTCTATTTGCAATAATTTCTAGATATCTCCCTGTATAGATTGCTAACTTCCGGATGTATTCTGGTTCTAGAATGGATAGATTTCTGATGACTTAACTGTACTTGTAAACTCTCTTAAGTCTGGCATACAATTTGGTCCTAATCACTTCAATATTTGAAGTGGTATGTGGAATATTTATTATCTCCTATGAATGATAAATAGCATTTATTTTCTTCATTTTAAAAAACATTTTATTTGCAAAAAAGAGAAACAAAATAATAATGAAATAGTGCTGCAATTATCTCTCCATTTATTATTTTTCATCTACCTGAAGTGTAGGGTATATTTTTTTTTATTTTTCTTATTCTAAACATGGCTAGAAGAAAAAACGCACTTGTTCCTACCATTTATTGTGAGCTATTACCTATTCTGGTGTATTCATGTATGCTACTATCTAGAATTTTTTAATCAGTAATATTTATTGAAAGATGTAATATATTTTACTGCCTCTTTTCCAATTTTTTTGTTTTATTTTGTTTTTGTTTTTTATCCTCACCCGAGGACATTTTTTGATATTTTATTCAGATAGAGTGGGAGAGAGAGAGAGAGAAACATCAATGTGAAAGGGACACATTGAGTGGTTGCCACCCGCACAACCCAACCAGGGCCGGGGACAAACTGCAACCAAGGTACGTGCCCTTAGCGGGAACCAAACCCGGGTCTCTCTGGATCGCAGGCCGACGCTCTAACCACTGAGCAAAACCAACCAGGGGCCGGTTTTTTTATATATTGCTTTTAACTTTTAGAAGTAAAATACAGAAAGAGCCATAAAGTCTGTAGGAAGACTACATTGATTACACATTACCCTAGGATATTGTCAAAGAAATACAAAACTGCCTACAAGTATTTTTACAAAGAAATAGCAGATATATTAACATAACTTTAACATGGAAATCTATCTATCCTAATAGAGCCTTGTCACCAGTGTAAGAAAAACTTCTGGGTAGGGATAAACATTCAAATAATAAAAATATAAGTGGCAAAATCAGTCACTTCCCTTATTTATTCTTTACTTTTAGAGAATACTTTTTTCTTCATGAAACCAGTTCTCAAATAGGATCCTGCATTGTATATAGAAAAATAATTAAGATTTCTTTATTTTCGTATTTTTTTTCTTTTGGGGAAAATACTCCTTTTTCTAGTTTTTAAATTTTACCTTGTTAATACATTCTTTCTGAAACTTTATTTTCAGGCATATCCTCCTTATCCAAGTTCACCTGTTCAGGTCATCACCGGATATCAGCTGCCAGTGTATAATTATCAGGTAATTTAAGAGAGAACAAATGATTTACTTTGGAATATTGTTGAGGTCTTTATTTATATAAATTTCCCCAATAGTTTGTCATTTAAACTAGTTAGTATGCCTAAAATTTAAGAAAAAAACTTTGAGTTAAATCTTCTGTATTATTAAAAATAGGGGAGCCCTGGCCGGTTTGGCTCAGCGGTTAGAGCGTCGGCCTGCGGTACTGAGAGACCCGGGTTCGGTTCCCGCTAAGGGCACGTACCTCGGTTGCAGTTTGTCCCCGGCCCTGGTTGGTTGTGCGGGTGGCAGCCACTCGATGTGTCCCTTCACATCGATGTTTCTCTCTCTCTCTCTTCCTCTCTCTCCCTCCGCTCTATCAGAACAAAGGATGGAAAAAATGTCCTCGGGTGAGGATAAAAAAAAAAAAAAATAGGGGAATACTATTTTTACAGGAATATACTTAGCAAGAAGTTTTCTTTCGTACTGTCTTACAAGATTTGGTGTCCCCTTCAAGTATTCTTCATCTTTGCTGTCAAATAGCTGAAATACCCAGGCTGACTTTTATCAATGTTACTAAGGGAATAGGTTCAAATAAAATGATTACTCAGTTCTTAGAGCATTGACTTCATTATATTTGGTAGTGTTAATTTTAGCTGGCTATAAGATAGTAGTAGTTCTTGAATTTCTGCTCATAGATGTCATATGACCCATGATTATATATCAATGGTAGTAAATTCAAAGAACTATCTTTGAGTTTTCCTGAATGCCAACGTTAGAAAATTGAGAAAAAGGTGAGGTTTATGTATGAAAGTAATAATAAAATCCTCAGGTGTTTGAAACATGAAGTACTACTTTCATTCTGTTTCTTTTTTATAACAAGTTCAAGGAGCCAGCATGACAAATATGTCAACATCAACATTGTCTGTCTCATATCTTTGTGAAAAGTACAGGAATATTTAAATAATGCTTTTTTTTTTTTTTTTTTTAAGATGCCACCACAATGGCCTACTGGGGAACAAAGGAGTTATGTTATACCTCCGGTACGATGAATTAGCCAAACATATACTTCCTGTTCTTTATTGTAAAGTATTTTTTAACTGTTAATATATTATGTCTTGAGCTTTTGCCGTAACATTTGTAATTACCCTTTTACTTTATGTGTTATTGTTTATATATTTCTTGTAAACTCAAATGGGAGAAAGTGCTTTTTGTTTCTCAGCTTGTTTTTGTGTGCTTAAGCAGTGGCTGCTCTCTGCATACAATAGGTGTTCATTTAGTTACTGATAGAATATGTAACCCAAGAAAGGAAGTATTAATACCTATGTTAATGCTTCTATAGATGCAGAATTAGTATTGAATCTGCTTCTAGTTTTTTACCTATAAAAAAGTCTGTTGAAGAGAAGCAAAGTAATATTTTGATGTAATACTGTTATATGTCATATAAGAAAAGGAATAAAACAAAAGAGTGCTACCTCTAAGTTACCTTAGTCTTTATTACCTTCTGTCTTTCATCAGGACTGGATAGTTGGAGAATATAATATGAGTTAAAATTCTCAGGCCCTGGGAAATTCCCATTTCCTTACTACATTTTGAGGTTGTTTTTTTTTTAGAGCCCTTCTAATTGTGATTGTGTTGAGGTTTTAAGGACATTTCAAAATAAAAAACTGCCTTATTGCATTTCAGCTATTCAGTTTAAAATAAAGTTTTTATGGTAGTATAATTGAACTTAAACATGACCCGTATTTAAACTTTCAATATCATCTTACCATTATTGTGAAGAATAGATTATTTAGAAATGTGTCTGATGTACATCTCTTTAATTACACTCTTATCGTTTTAAATGTAGGTTTATACAGCCGTTAACTACCACTGTAATGAAGTTGATTCAGGAGCTGAAGTTTTGACAAGTGAATGTTCAGTTCATGAAGCTACTCCGTCCTCTGGAAATGGCCCACAAAAGGCAAACATATAATTTTTTTTATTAATATTTTCATATTTTTTCAAGTTTTAATAATAGCCCTTTGAGAATTAAGTATCTTTGCCCCAATTTAAATATGGCAGCCAAACATGAAAGAGCCTGAGTAATTGACTGATAATTTGTCAGTTTATGTTAAAGTTGAAATTTCAGGCACCCTCAAACTTTTAGTGCATGTGTGTGTATAGATAGATAGATTTCTGATACAGTAGTCCTTTCTTCTGTTCCATTTTCATCATTTTTATTCTTTTTTAAACCATATTTTAATAAATACTGTATTAACATGATTTAAAAGAAGGTAATTGCAGGTTTCCTCAAGCCTCCTATTCTGCAAAAGAGGGATTAGTACAAATTATACCTACCTTTTTTTTTTTTCATTTTTCTTTTTTACCTATTTAAACATTTACTTAACTAAATAATAATATCCAATTATTTATGGTGTTCTTTCTGTAGCATAATATATGGTAACTTTCAAGAATGGTAAAGTCACTAGTAATAAATGAAATACTGAAGTAGACAGAATTGTTCCTTTTTTATCATTAGAGAAGATTTTTATAATACCAGTGTTCACTTTTGAATTCTGTTAAGTTTAATTGAATGGGCGGGAATATGGGTAAGGGTGGAGAATTATTATTTTAGTGTGTGAACTTTGTCCAAGTGTGTTTCAGTGGGAAAAAAGTTAAGAACTACTGAACTCTAGGGTGACAAAATTTTCTCATTTGATATATGATTTGAAATTTGGAAACATTATTAAAATAGTTCAAAGTATAATTATAATATCAGGTTTTTATCCTGGATATATATAAAATGTTGCCCGAGGACTTTTTTTCATTTTTTTGTTCAGATAGAGTGGGAGGGAGAAAGAGAGAGAGAGAAACATCGACATGAAAGGGACACGTTGAGTGGCTGCCTTCCGCACGACCCAACCAGGGCCGGGGACAAGCTGCAACCGCGGTATATGCCCCTAGCGGGAACTGAACCCGGGTCTCTTGGAACCACAGACCGACGCTCCAACCGCTGAGCCAAACCGGCCAGGGCTATCCTGGATATTTTTCGTTGAAATGTTGAAGTTCAGCCCTGGTACTCTATCACTAAGGTTCTAAAATATTCCTTGAATATGGAAAAGTTACATTCTAAGTGACATGTGGTAAGAATTATAAATTCCATAAGAATTCTTCAGAAATAAGTGTACATATTCATTAAACTTTATTTTTAAAAAAGCTTTGTTAACAGTAAGTAAAAGGAATAGTCTTCAGATTACCAAAAACATCTGTGTTTCAGAAATCTGTGGATCGAAGCATACAGACGGTGGTATCTTGTCTGTTTAATCCAGAGAACAGAATGAGAAACTCTGTTGTTACTCAAGATGACTACTTCAAGGTATGAAAGGAATAGTACACAGGATAAAAAACACATTTTCAGCCACGCAGCATATTTTTTTCCCCGTGTTATGTCCATTTTGAGATTGCATAGAACATTCTTTTTTAAATTTTTTTTTTATCCTCACCCGAGGACATTTTTCCATTGTTTTAATTCAGATAGAGTGGGAGGGAGGGAGGGAGGGAGAGAGAGGAAGAGAGAGAGAGAAATATCGACGTGAAAGGGACACATCCAGTGGCTGCCACCCGCACGACCAACCAGGGCTAGGAACAGACTGCATCCGAGGCACGTGCCCCCAGCGGGAACCAAACCCGGGTCTCTCTGGACCACAGGCCGACGCTCTAACCCTGAGCCAAACTGTCCAGGGCTACATAGAATATTTTATTGAACTCTTGGCATTTGACTAACCCAGTAAACCACTGTGAGTGAATTTTACCTGGTAATACATTTTATGCTGTTCAAACCTTGATATAGTGTAATTTGTTCCTAGGGAACAAACCTTTAGCAGAAGCTTTGAAAGAGTTTGTGAAAAAAGGTAGTTGAAATAGAACATTAGCTTTGATAAGATAGAAGGGTTTAGATATAGAAAGAGAACTTAAAGAGTACATGGACAGCCCTGGCTGATTTGGCTCAACAGTTAGAGCATTGGCTTGCAGACCAAAGAGTTCCAGGTTCGATTCAACCAAGGACATGTACCAGGGTTGTGGTTAATCCCCAGCCCCAGTTGAGGTTGTGTGGGTGGCAACACATCAATGTCTCTCTCTCTCTCTCTCTCTCTCTCTCTCTCTCTCTCTCTCTCTCCCTCTCTCCCCCCTCCCTCCCTCCCCCCTCCCTCCCCTCCCATCCCCCTCTCTCCTTCCCTCCCTCCCTCCCACTCTGTCTAAAGATAAATGTTAAAGTATCCTTGGATGAGGATTCCAAGAAAAAAGAGTACATTGACATTGGACTAAAGAGGAAAAAAGAAGTTGATCACTCATGTGACATACATGAACATTGTAGAGGGAGAAGAGATAAAGTTAAGCAATAAAAAGAGCTGAATAGAGAGAAATGGAAGTTGATTCAGAGTTGGTGGAGTGGAAGAGAATGTGGGTGTTTGGATTTTAAAAAGTCTGGTTTCTAATTCTGGTTCTATCACCTTGGACAAGTTATATAAATTTTGTTAGGGCTCCAGTTTTTACAAGTCTAAAATAAGGAGGCGCAAGACTAAAGGTCTCTAAGATCTCTTTAGTTGAGTCTGTGAATATGGGGAGGACCTAACTGTTTACTCCAGTGAGGGAGGAATATTGTGTGTGCTTATTAATAAAGGGGCATTTTTTTAATAATGTGTTTATTGAAATAGAATTTGAATGTAATGCAGTTCACTTCTTTCTTTCTTTATTTTTTTAATCCTCACCCGAGGATATTTTTACATTTATCTTTAGATAGAGCGGGGGAGAGAGAGGGAGAAACATTGATGTGAGAGAGAGACATCGATTGGTTGCCACCTGCACAACCCCAACCAGGGCCGGGGACAAACCACAACCAAGGTACGTGTCCTTGGCTGGAATTGAACCTGGGACTCTTTGGTCCATGGGCCGACGCTCTCACTGTTGAGCCATAATGGCCAGGACACAGTTCACTAATCCTTTAAAGTGTATAGTTCAATACTTTTTAGTGTATTTGCAGACCATGACCACAATCAATTTTAGAATATTTAAGTCATGCCAAAAATAACCCCCTCTACCTATTAAATAGCAGTCACTGTCCTTTCCCCCCCACCTCTTCTAGCCCTATGCAACCACTAACCTACTTTCTTTAAGGATTTGCTTATTCTAGACATTCCATACATGTATATAGAATAATACAGTATTTGGCTTTTTGTCACTGGCTTCTTTCATTTAGTATAATGTTTTCAAGGTTCATCAGTGTTACAGCATGGATCAGTACTTTATTTCTTTTTATTTATGGATATACCATTTTGTTTATCCAGTTATCACTTAGACTTTTGGATTGTTTCCACTTTTTGGCTACAATAAGTAATGCTCTGAGCATTTATGTACAAGTTACTGTGTGGACATGTTTTTATTTCTGTTGGGTATATACCTAGGAATGGAATTGCTGAGTCAAATGGTAACATGTTTAACCTTTGAAGGAACTTCCAGAATTTTCCCAAAATGACTGCACCTTTTTACATTCAAAGGGAAGTTTTTAACCATTGCTTTGTGTTTTAAAACGGGGGAAAGAGAACAGTTTTTTTCCATCTATGAATGGACATAGATTGAAGCTTAAAGGCTTTTTTGAAGTGTATACTAAGGAATTCCTATAATGCAGAAGAATAGAGCCATAGCAGGATTAAGATGTTACCATCTCAACAGGAAGTAAACATTCATTTAAAGTTGACTTTTGTCCTTTTGTTGTTTCATTCTACGAAGTACAATTTAAAAGGAAAGAAGGGGGCGGGGTTGTACCACAGCTTTCCTTGCCCTAAATTCTGAAGGTTAAATAGGTATTATTTAAATGTTTTGTTAGCAAAGCAGAAAATGGTCTGTATTACTTTTTAAAAAAATTTTTAATTTCTTAATTTTGTAGTTTACAATATTTAGCAAACTAGTTTCCCTGATGCCTTCTCCCCAAACTCTACAGCCTTTTTACACTCTTCAAACAGGTCCAGGACACACATTTTCACCTGGGGTTACAGAAAAGCTTCCTTTTGAACCTTCCCAGGTTTTATGCTCCTGTGGACTAGAAATCAGAAGTTGGTAGCCTGCAGTTGTCTGGCCTCTAGATCTGTTTTGATTGGCTAAATGTTTTTGTTGTTACTGTTTGAATTGAATTTGAATGCATTGAAGCAGACTATATACTATTTCCATGGTAAATTCCATTCTGTTATCTTAATTTCAGCTTCTTCATAATTTGTCATATCCTGCCTGACCTCTGAAGATATTTGAGTTTTGTAACCACTTTTCTGGGCTTTAACCTAAATAAGATTTTATCCTGTTGACAGATTAGATAATTTCCAGTAGTTACCCTTCTTTATATGACAGTTGAATTTAATGCCTAGGAAAGGAGCAGGATTAAGCTAAATATGTAGAGAAGAAAATACTATCATGTTACTACTGGTTTACTCACCTTCATTCCTCTTTGCAAGGCCTCACTTCCTATCTGCACAACATAAAATGAAAGAAAAATTTTGCATATATATTTTTTTACTTTATTTCCCAAAGAATGATATATCTTCATCACAGGTTAAAGATATGCCTTTAAAGATGCCAAAACTTTTATTTTTAATCTAAAATAATAGGATTTCAGATTGAAGTGCAATGCCGTTCTCAAGCTATGATTTCTACCAAATATATTTCTGTTAGTAAAAACAATGCTTTTTAAAATTACATACTTTTTTACCAACTATCTTTGGGTCATCACTGCTAAATTGTTAATTAAGAATCTGCACAAAATAGTACTGGTTCTAAGTCCTCCGTTTCTAGGTTTACCAAGATTTCTTTTAAATTAAATTGTTGAATAAAATTAGTCATAGCTACATTTATTATCAAAGTCCAGGAATACTTTCCAAAAGGACCACTTATCTCTCATTTATAGTTTTGATTCTTTCTTGTCAATTCTCATCCAAGGACATTCTTTCCATTGATTTTTATAAAGAGTGGAAGTGGGGAGGGAGGGATGGAGAGAGAGAGAGAGAAACATCAGTGTAGTAGAGACACATCGATTGCTTGCTTCCTGCATGCACCCTGACCAGGGATCGAACCTGCAACCCAGGTAGGTGCCCTTGACTGGAATTGAAACCAAGACCCTTTGGTGCGTGGGCTGAGGCTCTAACTACTGAGCCAAACCAGCCAGGGCTCATTTGTAGTTTTTAAATCCAAAGTAAGTGCTTCAAGCATTTTGCAACTCTCTTAGGTCATAGTGATAATAGGAAATTTTCAATGAAGTAAAAAGGATTGTTTCTGTCTCTTCTAGGATAAAAGAGTGCATCATTTTAGAAGAAGTCGGGCAGTGCTTAAATCTGTTTAATCTTCTCTTCTAACTTTCTAGTCTCATGGGAAGTTGCTGGTTTTGAATATTAAGAAGAGACTGAAAGTTTATCACTATTATAAAAATTTAATTCTGAGTAATGATAAATCACATTAAGACTATACAAGCTGTATTAGATTGCCTAGTTTTATTTTACATTGAAACTGTTTTTCTTTAGATGTTTATTTAGAAACTAGTTCTTTGTTAAATATATATAGTTGAAAGTAAAAAATAATTGAAACTGAAAGGAACAACTTTAAGATTTATTTGTAAGGATTTTTTTTAAATTGAAATTGACATTTTAACAGTTTAAAGCAAATGCTGATTTTCAAAAAATTGTTTTAGAAAACCTATTTTGAAAGGTCAGGATTTTGATAGTCTGAATACAAGCATTTCACTTCTCCAGCAAGTACCTGTGAATAGTACAATATTTACAATATTGTACTTTACATTTATGATTTGTCTAGAAATTAACCACAAGAGCATAGTTTTTAAAACTGCATTTTTAATCAGTGGAACTCAATATGTAGTTAGCTTTATTGAAGTCGTCCTTATCTAAACCCAGTAAAACCAATTCTAAAGAAACAGTCCAATCAGTGGGTCTTATTAGTTGGAAATATTTTATCTTTTATCTAGAATCCACATATAGATATCGTATTTGATTGGGATGGTAATTAGATTACTAAAATTCTAGACCTAATTTTTTAAAAAGAATCCAAGACAAACTAAACTTTACTAGGTACATAAGCTTCTTGGTGAGTTATCATTCTCCTTTTTTTCTTTAAAAAATTTTCCCTTGAAATGCTAAACCTATCTTAAATTGTGCAAAATATTGGTAATAAAGAATGCTGAAGCTTTTTTTTTTATGTCACTTAAAGGTTAATCAGAGTATCTGAAAGGAATTATTTTTATAAAAACACTAAAAGATTAGTTATTTGTTAAAAAACAAATAGATTTTTATTTTTGTTAGCCTATTATATTTCCTTTTATAAAAATAAAATATGTCCAAGAGAGTCCAAGTAGTTTTGGCATTTCTGAATCACAAAAGTTGTTTAGTAAGCATATCCCAAGAATATACTAGAGTCAGTTAACAGTCCATTTCTAGATTAACTAATCTCCTCATTAAACAGTAGATCGTGACAAATGACTGGAGCACCAAAGCCCTTTTGCTGTATCCACAATCTTGCTTTACCAGTCTGTAACACCATTTTTCCAGGAGGTTTGCTCCTAGAACAGGTGATGTAAAGATGAGAAGCAGCAGTATGAACAGGTTGAAGTCTAAGCCTTTGAAAGGTAGCAGTGGGATATTACCTTTGTAAGGGAAATGCTTGTCTCAGCATCATTTGACCTGCCATGAACATGAGTTTAAAATGGCTTCCTGGCCTTTTCTTTCATTGGCCCCTTCACTAAAACATATGAAGACTCCTTTTATCCCTAACCTAATATAGCTACCATGGGCCATATCATCAGTGCCCATTGTTGTCTTATAATTCCTAGTAATTTTTATTCTGAATCTGAAGGGAAGAGTCTTTTAACTTAAGGATCCTCAAAAGGGCTTTCCTATGCGTCATAATTTGAAAGTACCCTGAAATTTGTTCTTTTAAAAATTCTCTGTACTGTTTTTTGCATGTGTTATAACATTCTTACATGTATCATTCTGTGATTAAATCTCCAAGTTACTGTAAATGACACCTAAATTCTAAAGAGCCACTTACATGACTTTAGGTAAGGGAATAAACTTTTTATTTGTGTGCTGTTTTGTTGGACTGGAGTATTTTAAAAATAGTAAGGTAGAAAAAAGAGACAGTTCTGAACCTTTCAAAATGGAAAATTAATTTAAAACATAAAAGGATGTTCCTATTACATATTGCTGATACTGTTTTTGCATAAATGAATAAATAGAAATAAAGAAACTTTTTTTGCCAGAAACATTTTTGGCCTACTTATTTATGTGATATTATCTAAGAAATGGTGGGGAGTTGGGTGAGTAATAAGTGACAAGGTTTAGATCCTTGAAATTCAAAACTATGTATTGTTCAACTTCTTGTTAATCTGGCAGAATTAATTTATAAAAGCAAATTTTGCCACACTGTGTTTTTATTGCTTTCTCTTAGGAGATTAAGAGAGATTTATGAGGAAAAAAAGCCTTCTTAATGTTGGGTTGGAAATGGTTAACAGTGAGTTTTAACGCAGTGCATCAACAGTGTAGTACCTAGTAGGAATGCTAAAGTGTTAATTATGACTCTGCAGTCTTATGACCAGGGTCTCTCATTTTGGACTATGAGCACTCTTCTGCACACTTTGGGCTTAAACTCTGTGATTCTTTAGTTTCGGGTACTGTAGTTGTCAAAAGAGCTTAGATTTTTCATATTGCATTTACTTCATATGAGGATGCATCCAAAAGATCATTATTCACCACCTCTTCTAGTTCTAGCTCCGATACTCCCAGTTCCATAAGCTGAGGACATAGGACAGGAAAATTTCCCCATTGGATACTCCTATGCTATCTATATTTTATAATTGACTCATTACTAGAAAATTGATTTTGGTAACAAGGTTCTACAAGATAAAAAAAAAATGATTTCTGAATTACCAAAGATAAAATTTTGATGTTTAAAGTAGAATAGTTTGCAGATTAGTAATCCTTAAATGTGCATGTACATGTGTACATACATACTAACCATTATCTAGAACATTTGATTAGCTCTGACCAACCTGACAGTTTATAAAAATATTTTGGGGCCCTAAAAATTAACTACATATATATTAAAACAATTTATTAAAGCCTACTTGATATTTTAAGCATATTTGCAGTTAAGGTTTACCACAAAATTCTCAACACAAAACCAAGTCTTTGGGATTAAAAAAGAAATTTCATACAGCATTTTTTAAAAAAATGCAAGTTATAGCAAAATCAAGTAACTCTAAAAAGGTTGGTCACCCTTGTAAGAAGAATATTCTGTGTACTTCTTTCTTTGCCTAAGAACATGTTACCTTTGGGTTTTTTGTTTTATTTTTGTTAATCCTCACCCAAGGATATTTTTCCATTGATCTGTAGAGTGGAAGGAAGTGGGGGAGGGGGAGAGAGACTCCGTTTGGTTGCCTCCCCCATGACCTGGACTGGGTCTGAGGATCAAACCTGCAACCCAGGTATGTGCCCTTGACTGGGAATCAAACCTGCAATCCTTCAGTCTGCAGGACAGTGCTCTAATCACTGAGCCAAACTGGCCAGGGCAATGTGTTACCTTTGTAATTGTCCAAAGTAACAATTCAAGATCAATTAGCACCCTTAAACTCTAAGTAACTCATTGACTTTCAAAATAAATATTCCACAGCATCCTAAAGCCCTTTACCCACTTCTCTAAAATTCTCTTGGTTGTCTTTAAAGGTAAACTCATAAAGATGGGCTGCCACATTGCTTAATTGTTTTGCCAGCTTTCATTGCTGTCATTTGAGGGTAATAAGGAGCAGTAGCGATAAGACAGCGTGCTACTCTGCTTTCGCAAATATGGCAATAGAGAAGGTGGGAAACCATAAGGGGGAGAAAAGTGACAGTGTTTTCCATTGACCAAGTCTTTCAAATAGGCCCAGCTGTTAAGTATGATCATTTAGAAATCCTGAAACACATCTTTTAGATGAGGATTGCTCCTGTACATGTTTTGAAAACTGTAATCTAGCCCTTCCCAACATTATGTGTAATATGTCTCTGTGTGTAACTGAATCTTTTTGAAGTAATTCCTTACCACTTGTCATCAGACTCTTAGTTTTCCATCTGTAGACATACATTTGGTAGTAGAAAACAATAAACATAAGAAGTTCAAACTATAAACATGCGTTTTTGAATGCTCATGGAAAATATTCAATCTGCATAGCAAAGAAACGATAGGTAATTCTGCATTGCATTTAGAGTTAAAAACATCTGTCCAATATGGCTGTAGCTGTGGGCCAACCCCAAGCAAATGCAAAACAATTCTCTCGATACAGAAGTTGGAACTACCACCGTACAGTTAAGCTCTATGTTAGCTATATTTTATGGTTTAAACTGGTCTGAAACAAAGTTTTCCATTTGAGTCTCTAGTTCATTTTTTCCAGGGCACATGGAAGCTTTATATCTTACATGGACCTCCATTAAGGCTGTGAGCCAGGAATATGCCTTTTCCCACTTAAAATTGCCAGATACCAGTTTCACTGGGTTTTAACAGAGCAAATGCTTGCATGACTGGGATATGGGGGTTATGAACGCATTTTATAAATTTACAGCAAAGGTAACATTTCAAGCACTTCAGAAAATTGGATGTTTTATACTCCTTAATCAGTTCTTTTTTACAGAAAACAAATCTAGTAAAAGTATATTAAGGCTTTAATATCTATTGTCTTTCTCCAAAATAAAATGGATAGAGACACTATTCTGGCTCATTCTTGGGTAAAACAACTTACTATAGAAGAAAGGCAGGGTTGCCCTGGCCAGTTTGGCTCAGCGGTTAGAGCGTCGGCCTGCGGTCCGGAGAGACCCGGGTTCGGTTCCCGCTAAGGGCATGTACTTCGGTTGCAGTTTGTCCCCGGCCCTGGTTGGTCGTGCGGGTGGCAGCCACTCGATGTGTCCCTTCACGTCGATGTTTCTCTCTCTCTCTCCCTTCCTCTCTCTCCCTCCCACTCTATCTGTACAAAAAATGGAAAAATATCCTCAGGTGAAGATAAAAAAAAGAAAAAAAAAGAAAGGCAGGGTTGACACTCAACTGATCTGTACAGACAAATCAGCCATTTACAGTGAGCTGGTCCTTTATGCCCTTGGACGCTTGATAAAAATTGTAATATTTTCAACCCATCCTTACCCCCCAGAATAAATCTGGCTGGACTAGTAAGAATGGAGAGGGATAATTGAAAATAAGGAGCATTTTCTCTTTGTTTTAACTTAAGCTGATCCCATACCTAGTGTGTGAGCTACTTCATTCAGCAGCGTGAGTTAAACTTGAACAGTATTTAAATAGCACACCTGCTAAATGAGAAAAGTTTAATTCTATGCTTTTTTTCCTGAACATGGCTTGGTTGCTGCTCATCATTCTTAATGATTTTGTGCCTGTCTTTGACAAAATAAAATCCCATTCATCACCCAAGGTTACATCCATGATTAGATCAGCCCCATATCTTTTGGGGGCAAGTTTCCTCAATTATACCAACCTCAAAGGGAAGTCAAAGAACATCAGAACCATCATCTGGTGTGCGTTTTATTTATTTTATCCTCACCTGAGGACATTTTTGCATTTCTCTTCAGGTAGAGCGGGAGGGAGATATGGAGGAAGGGAGAGAGACATTGATGTGAGAGACACATTGACTGGTTGCCACCCACACAACCCCAACCGGGGCCGGGGACAAACTGTAACCGAAGTACATGCCCTTAGTGGGAATCGAACCTGGGACTCTGGTCCGCAGGCCGAAGACGCTCTAATGGCTGAGCCAAACCAGCCAGGGCTCTGGGGTATTTTTTTAGAGATTCAGACTTCTGGGCTCCATTCTTGGATGCTCTTACTCTGTAGGCCTATGTTTAGTAATCTGCATTTTTAATAAGTCCCTCAGGGAACTCTGATCTCTGCAACACTCACTTTGAGAACTACTGCCCCAGATGGCCATCTCTCATTATGTCATCTCAGGCTACCCCTAGTTTTGGGATAGCTGGATTTGGAGAACAACCCTGCTAGGTCCATTTTCATTTCTTTGTAAGGGATTTTGTTGGCTTAATTCATCTTTCCCTGCCAAGTTTGTGCCTAGGGGTACCAGTTGTCCCCAGGCAAAGGGACTCATGAACAAGTTGAAAAGTGGATCCAATGAAGTCTGAGAGCCAAGACTGTGGCCAACAACAA